TCTGATGTTCTGTTCATTTTTACTGTTTTTCTTTGTCTTACGTGGGCAATAAGCTCTGTTTCCCCTCTACTTACATTTTTGATCCTCTTAGAACAGAACTTTTAAGCCCTAGCACCCTCTTGTCGTTTCGTCTGACATCGCTAATTGCGACAGTGTCCCACTTGAATTAGTTGAGTTCTTCCAATCCTTGAAGCCTGTTTCGCCTAGATCTTATTTGTAGTTGTGCGTAGTTGTGCGTTGCCAGTGTTAGGAAACCCCGTAGCCCTGATCCGTAACGTTGATTTTCTTAACATCCTTTGTCTTCATGTCTGACCGGCTTCTGCCTTCGCCGGTGGCAATCCTGTTTCGGGCGAATGAAAGCTATAGTTTTAGCGGTGATTTGTGAAGATTGATCGTGTTGTCAGCAAGCGCTTGGTCACTCTTTCGTTCCGTCATCTTTCCTGCGCAATACTTTGGATTTTGGACGACCCTTCCTGACAGCTCAGCTCAAAGTATTCCTTGTTATATTTTGTATAAAGTTCCTTCATTCTAGCTTACAAATTCTCGTTCTGTATGTTAAGCTTCACTGTTTGCAAAATGCTGCCTACAGTACTCTCGTATGATCAGCCCTCCATCGATAAGTTCACTTACTCCAGTGAATACTTTATCGTCCTTCTTTCCAAAACCGCAACAACAATTCCTGGTAAAGATTTCAAGAATATTGTCGCCATTGGTCTTCTGCGTAAAGCTGCACACAAACACTGACACGGTCTTTATGCATTCGACGAAGCAGCCCCATGGATGTTAAGCAACAATACTTTAACATGGTCAGTGTGACATATTCATCTCCTTGTTTACCATTGCTTTATAGCATCGTAGTTCAAGATTCTTTATGGTTAGCTCCAAGTGCTCGAGTACGATTTTGTTCCCTGTTTTGTGTCGTGTAATATGTACATAATTCTCATGTATTTCTTTTCTTCCTGAAAAAATGGAATTCTTTGGCGATCCCATTCAAGCAGTAAACTTTTCATATTTATTCATTTCATCTTGGAGAATTTGACCCTAACTTACCAGGCGGGTTTGTGATTGTTGCCTCTTCCACTTGGCTAGGTATCTTGCTCAAGCCTTTACAGCATTGTCAAACCTGCCAGACCCTAGAGGTTCAGCTTCGTCATCTTGGGAACTTGTTGTCGCCTTCCTGCCTCTTTGAGGTGGAGGTAGTTATTAGGTGAGGCTAGCATCATACACGTACCAGTTTTTTCTCAAGTTGATTTTTGTGCGCTCATCCCAGTGAAAGCGAAATTGCATGATCGTTTTCAGGAGTGTCTAGTATTTTTTCTTCCCTTTTCAGATCTCTTGTTAACGTAATAGCTGTCATTTGCGGTTCCCACCTCGTCCCACCCTGAACTCTCTCTGTCCACGCCAAAATACATTTTGCACTCTTGCCACTCTATTCATTGCCATATGATAGCTTTCGCAGTTTACGTATATAATCGGTAGTAAAAAGACCTGCTAACCATTTCTGAAATGATAGCAGAAGATCTTCAGTGTTTAGATAGAAGATTTTAAAGATTTCTATCTTCTTTCAGGTATAACTGTGCTCACCTTCATCATGAAGACCATCTTCATTTCATGCCTAACTCTGTAACAGAAATGCGGGTAAAGCTCCAGGCAACACTGCTTATGTTTGTTTGAGACGCGGTGGCTTTGAAAAAATTAATGTGAATGTAACAGTTATATGCTAGATGCAGAGATTCGATTGCTTATCATAGCTGATAGGCACGCGCTCCTATTATGTATTAAATGAGACAGACATTAGTGAAATGGTTTGCGGCTTCAGATTTTTCGCATGTAGCGATTTTCTGCGGCGGTAGGTGGCAGTAGCAGTGTTGCGCGCTTTGTCTGTTTAAAAAGCAGACAGGCGCAATATGTCTCTCAGACCTCTTAAGACTTTGTGTAAGACAATATATAGATGATACTTTCTTTCTAGCGTTTTAAAAACTCGTATTATTTCTGTGCAGAACTCAGAACTCTTTGAAACCTGTGGCAGATGATACTGAGCTCAGTTGCGATGTCAGACAGACAAACAGACAGAGGGAGTTATTCATGCAAGTATATAGGGTAAGTCATGTCGTTAATTTCATTCGATGTAAATTTGAAGCCGTTCTTAGTTTAAAACGGACTTCGGCAGCATGATAGGATGGCCTAGCGTTTGCTTGCACTCTTTTCATGTCAGTCTTACAGGAAGGTAGCTCTCTTTGATGATGCTATACAGTGAGTTCGTGCTTTGTTTGATACATGTCGCTGTGTCTGGTTGAAACGTATAGGCTCTGTTTACTGGTACCATTTTAAGGCTAGTCATTCATTGGTGGCCTATCCTGATTATTAGATTCTTGTTAACATCTGCTGGTATTTTAAGCACCCAAGGGCGAGCGATTAGAGGTTAGTAGGCTGACTTCAGACTGTTGTACAACTATCCATTGGACCTCAGATATGAAAATACAGAATGATGTGAGCAACATTAGTACTGATACGCCTTTGCATTGTGCGCATAGCTCGAAACGAGTATCTTTTCCATTATCTTATTATCCATTCTTTTTATTTCTAGTTTTGCATGAAAGTGGCGAAACTCATAGAAGCAGTGGAAAACTCGTATGTTACCTAGTACGGTATAAAACCTGCTAGGAAAGATGATTTATTAGATTTAGATCGCCGTATATATCTACCGCCGCAGCAGTGAAAGATGATTAGGTTTTAACTTAGGTTAAAACATAAGATCTAAAGACATAGTACTGGTGCTCATTCCCGCAGCATCTCTGTGAGTGTAGTCAGTAACAGTTGTAGGATAGGATTAAATTAAAATCAAGTTGGTTAAAATAGTGAGATAGGAGACAGCATGCTCTCGGCGGAGAACAACGCGCGCGTTGAAGTGTATCGATTTTTGCGAATAATCTGAACATCTCTCTGTAGCCATGTAGAGATTTGGTGGCATTATTAGATGATCATCCATTCTATGTTATCTCTCCGCAGCTTCGATCGGGCATCTTTCGTAACCTTCTTTTAAGTCTCTGAATTAATGTGAACCTCTTTTGCACGCGTTGATCATTTCTCGGAGACTATCAGAATGTAGAGATCTGTTCGGCTATGCAGTTTGCAGAACGTGAACCACATTGCTGGTTCTGAACCTTTTGTTCTGTTATTTCTCATTGCGTTTCCAAGCAGTTTGCATTGTCCAGAAAAGTTGCGCAGAGAAATCTATAGTTAGTTGCTGCGGCATCTCATCTCCTTTTTTGAGCGCATCGAAAATCACTGCATGTTGGTCCTACATTGTTACATTTCTAAAACTACGCAACCTGACTCACGTCAGTCACCCATGAATACGGCAGGTATTTCTAATGCCTGGATAGCGACATCTGACGATATTAATATTGTCGACATTGGTAGAAAGGCGCATCCTGCGTTGCAGTAGTCTTTTTGACTATAGATCCGTCTCCATTGAAGGAGTTGCAACTGTTTTAAGGGCACAATCTGCTCTAAGTTTTGAATAAAATCTTTCAATTTTATTATCTGTCGTGCTGGCCGTGAAATCAAACGTAATCACGTTTAGTGGTGCGCAGTGCAGAGTTGTTTACTTTTCGCACACGATTTTTTTAACTCAAATTCAATGAGCGTAACAGCCGAAGAGTTTGCGATTTCTATCCAACAATCTTGTATTAGATGAAGATTTGATAGCTCGTTACAGCAAGCAGCAAACAGTCTTCAACGAAGCTGCTAGGCGTTTTTAAAACCAATCAAACAATGATTATGTTGCAGAGTTAACAGCCAGTTCTGATCTTACTTTACAAAGACCTGCGTCATCACAGCGTTTGTCGTTACCAGTTGTCAGTGTTTCTAGTTCTATTCATTGACATATGATTGTCAGCCAGTTCACATGTATTGATTGATTTGCTATTGTCTGAAAATTCGATCCAGCTTCGTCGATGGTAGATACTTCATCTGTGATATTTTCTAATTATCTGTCTTTTCTCATATTTCTCATGCATATTGAAAGATGTTAATGAAATGTTAATTTTCATTTCTTAGTAGAATGTGGCTGAAGACCTAAGGTTTTAGTTTTCTTATTTCGTCTGTGAGGCTCCTTGAGTTGATCGCTGTTAGCAGAATTAGTAATTTTAAAGGAGCCCTTTTGGCGTTATAAGGTAATGCAACATTCATGATCCTGTTGCCTAGTTTGTAGCCGAGTGCCTCTGCGTCAGCATACCTTTCAGACATCCAGCGTGCTAGTTTCCTCCTTCCCAAGCATCTGTTTTGCTACCGCATACATCAGTATTGATCGAATGGCATTCTAATGCACACGAAACTGCATAAACGTATTGGCAGTTGTTTGTTTTACAGATTTTGTT